ACTACCAGGCTCAATGTAAATCGCAAGAAATCGCTATTATCATGGGAGACCTGAATGACAAGGTCGGAAAAGAACAAGAAGGCGAAATGGTTGTAAGTTCGAACTCGGAACCTGAAACGAACGCGACGAAAGATGGATTCAATGGTGTACAACAAACGATCAAATAATTACCAGGACATGTCTTCAGGATCACCCAAGATGCCTATGAGCATAGAAACCCAGGAACACACACACACACACACACACACACACACACACACTGATTTCGTAATCAACAAAAGGATCAGAAATGATTCAAGTGTCAAGTATGAACAAACTGAAACTTCATTCCGAATCTTGCCAAAAATAATTCAAAAGTCAAGTCAAAATGCCCTTTTTTTAGAGTTGGTGTTTATTTTAATTAAAAAATACATTATTACTTTCTTTCAGATTGGACAGAAATGCTGTTCTACACTGCAAAACATATTCAAGTGTGGACTAAGGGAGAGACCATCGTCTACTCGTGTCCTACGTCAGAATCTACGGAAACTGAAGACGATCTAAGCAACGCTTAAACTGCAATATGATAAACTTCTGAATCATCACACGGTAAACGATACAAGAAAGAAACGAATTGATGACAAGATATTCTAGAGATAATGAAAAAACAACAATGTCAGGGAATGGAAGAGTACTGAACATTAAAAATAGAAATTAAAGACAAATGTAGATAGGCTAGTTATTTACTCTGTCTCCCCAGTAAGATGAGTTGTGATACAAGCTCAGTTTTTAAGGTGGAGACCCCGAGCTCCTACACCCGGGCTAGGAACAAAAAATGCCCGCAGCCCCCGCAACCCTCGGTTGCGCTGGCCTTGGTGCGAGCACCGATCCCTCTCTCTGGTGCAATGAGAGGGCGTGGCCACGGGCAGCTGTTCCCCAGGGCTGAGCACCTCTCAGTTGCGACAAATGTATGTAGGCTGAAAGGATGAACTAAAATAGATAGAATAGAATAGATAGAACTAAAATAGATAGAATAAACCAAATATGCAGAACGGAATAAAACAAAATAACAAAACGAAAGCTGAGCCAATCAACAGGATCTATAATATTCCTCCGAAGCGTTCTTTGCCAACCACGAAATCTCAGCCAATCTCACAGAGATGATTATCGACCATCTCAGTATCGTCACTGGACAGGCATCCGATAAGATGTTATCAAAAATCATCAAGGCCATCCAGACAGTCGATTCAAATGAGGCACCTGAAATCAGCATAATTGACCACTGTGATCACTGTGCTACAATCTTCCAAAAGCACTTCCACCAATTTTATTTGGAATCCGGCATTTACGTCTTGACGATCAGGGATGGTTAAAACACGCCTAAACTGGTCGTACCTTACAAACTCCGTGCCAGATATCTCTATCAAGCTTTATGAATGCACAAACCACTCTGGTGTCACCTGTATGCACGAACATCTTTCTAGTTACTAGTGGGAATTCAAGAACTGCGACATTAAGTCTTACGTCAATTCCTGCACTATCTGTGCAAAACGGAAGAACGTAAATGGCAAAAGCGACTGGGTCTTTCGCGCTTATGTCCGTCGTCTCGTACCGCGACTGAATCCTCTGCAATACACAAATTCTCCCTCTCCTCTGCGTTTGCAGAATCCTCAACTAGCATTGAAGTCGGTGAAACCACTTAAACACTACTCAAAGCTACTGCAAAAAAAAAAAATCCTCCCCACCCCAAAAAGCTGGACAACTCCCAACATACTTCAAAGACTTCATCACGCACTAACAACAATGCTACAAACTCACCAAATCAACATAAACCCATACCTTTCCGCTCACACATTCACTCATTACCCATGAGCCAGATTGAGATCTGGGAGAGTTGTTATACTTAGTTTCAAACTAGATCTCTTTCTGATTCGCTCTATATCAAAACCTGCTGGACGATGTAAACGCTAAGAAAGCAAAACTAAAAAAGAAAAAGGTTGATTTCTTCGAATGGGCTCTGAGCATCATATCCGACTCGCAAAACAAATTCCCTAAAAAAACAACTCTAAAATACAATATAAAATGAGCCAATCAATAACGTTATCGCAAAAGCAGAAGGCATGATAAAAAAAAAGCTGAGTCATGATCCACCCTGTCTACTTTTAAGAACGGCGCTCACAAGACTGTCGGTAGTTGCAGGCAAGTTGTCAACGTCGTCAACTGAACCGACAAATACATTATCTCCAAGCCCTAGCGACTCTCCCCATTATTCTAATCGATTCCCTTGGCTGAATTTCGCCTTGAACATTTGTATCGGCAATACAAATAATTTTATCTTAACAATTCTTATCTTCTTTCTTTCCACCTCACCGGAGTATTTGTTATTTCGTTTGTTGCAACTATACGCATTTAATATTTCGGAAAAAACATCTATTTTGGTGGTACTTAGTTTTATCTTTGAATAGAAAAAATACTGCGGCTTTGACAAGAAAATCTTCAATAAACAAATTTAGTGTTTTATTACTAACGCTAAATCTAATTTATCCACACCAAAAAGATTAATGAAGGATGGTAATAATGAGGAAACACGCAGTATTTTAACAAAACACGATAAGGAATTTATTCACGAATTTAGATGCTTGAAGTAGTGTTTCAGGAAAATAAATCTGAATTTTTAAAGTCCGTTGTTTTTAACATATTCTTGTAGCGGACCCCACGAGCGCCCCCGTATCACCAAAAGGGTGATGAGGTCACAAGAGGCCCGCTAACATTTTTCGAAGACGTTAAATCTGACAAGGTGAAACAACATAGACGACAGAACGAGGATATATATGATAATTTATTCTAGAAAAGAAATAAAGGTGGTCGGAACGGTAGAGATGCAGATGTTCTGGTGCAGGCATTGATGGTCGAGGTTGGTTGTTACAGGTGATCGCTGTTGGTCATGCAGATGATCGCTGTAGTTGAAGTTGGTCGTTGCCGGGATGATCGCTGTTGTTGCAGTTGATGTTGGTCGTGGCCGGGATGCCAACTTGACGTGTTGGGAAGGAAACGGGAGCTGGCGTTGCGATGTTGTTCGGGCATGTCACAAGTCCAGTGCAAGCGTTGCGTGTCTGCCGGTCGAGTCCGATATTAGTAACCTCCCGTAATAATTACTAACATAGTGTACGGGAAAGGTTATAGACGACGTGCAGGCAGCCAGTAGGGACAGAATGCCGAGCGTCGAACAGGGCCAAGGAGCCAGGAGTAGTAGGCGAAGGAGAGAGAGAAGAAAAGTTTCCAACTATCGTCAAGTTGACAGACCCCCAAAAATGGGAGCGTAACTTAATACGCAGCCCGGTGATCGACGTTCCTGGCCGGAGGCCAGGAGCCTGCGTACCGACCGTTTCAGTTGCCGATCGAGATTTATTTTGTAAAAATACACAATTGTGGCACAAGGCCGAAAAGGGGGAGGGGGTAAAAGGCTGGTCTTCACTAACTATCTTATACCTAGCTAATTTGAATCACGACCCATTCAGACATTACAATTTACTCATTCACCATAAGTGAGAAGTCACTGTCTTGTGCTAAGGGAGACTAGCAAGAGGTTTGGCAAAGCTAACACAGTAAAGTCTAAAAAAAACAAGTCAAGATTAGCTAAAAGGAAACTAAGGCCTAAAAATGTTTAGAAGTATATTACAACTAGGTTTGTAATATAACTTAACTAAAAAGGTAACTTGCTAGTCTCTACCAAGGGTTAACAGCGTATAGGGAGCACAACCGAGAGGTCAAGGTCGAAATGACCTGTTTCTCTTCCGGTTTAAGGAGTCAAGGAGGAGGTAACTCCGACATTCTTTAGGGGAAATGTTCATACAACAGATTAAATGATCTGACGCAAGATAATAATCAAAAATATTTACGACAAAGGTAAGAAAGTTCGTTGCACACCGAAGGGATATATGGTTTCCATATGTTCAAAAGTGAACGATGACAGTTTAAACTTTTTAGCTTTACTGGACTGCTGGCTAGTGGCCGATTATAATATTTTTTAAAGAATTTCGAATTACTTTTTGTGCACGTTTATACGTGCCAATTTTTGTAACTAAAGACATCCATACGCGACATTATCCGAAAATATGAGTGGTAATTAGAGTAAATTTAAAATTTATTGGTAATTTTCTGACAATTCCCCAATAAAAATATTTCATTTTTGAAAGATTTTTTTTAAAAGAGATTTTTTGCTGAAAGATTTTTTGTAAATATGGCTCACTAGCCATTTCTAACGATTCATTAAAAAGATAAATTCCAATCAATTTAAATTCGTTTTGAAATACAGAAAGTTTTTTTTTTCTTTTGCTTATTGGAAATATTAAATTTATTTAATTAGTTTGAAATTAAGACTAAAATAAAAGCTTCAAGAAAAACTTTTTCATTTATAAAAAATTAATTTAAATACTTACTTGGGTATCGCTTTTCTTTGGAGGTACCTACATTTTTAAATTATTCAATTGTTTAATTTCGCTTTTTTGGGGGATTGTTTTTTTTTCCTTCATACTAACAAAAAAGAAAAAGTTTTTACCTTTTAATTATTTTTAGATTATTTAAATTTTTAAATATTTTAAAATTTAAATCAGTAAGTATAAGTTTCTGATTTGTTTTCAGTACACCTGTGAAAAAAAAACTGTTTCTGCATTTTCGTATGTAGCAGTGAAATCAGCTTTGTTCCTATAGTAACAACTATAAACAAATTCATTTCTTCGTCAATAATCATTACTAAATTTTCACGCGACAAAACAGTTTTTCTTTCCTTCTTCATGCCTGTATTTTTAATCGACGCTTTTTGAAAAAGTACTTTTAGTTCCTATTTGGAACTAAAGCACCGCAGTTAAGTAACAACGAATTTTCGCTTAAAAAAAAGAATAATAAAGGTATGTGTGACACGAAAACTGACTGAGAAACACGAATGGAATCATTATTTTTATGACATCATGACTTGCATGTGGAGACAGAAAAAACAAGAGGAATAAAAAAACAAAACAAAAATGGCAAGCGACATAACTGGTAGTTGGGTAAGTATTTTTGTTGTTGATTTTTCTACCTTATATAAATTTATGAAGCTAGTCAAATTATTTAAAAATTAACTTTGAAAAATTTAGTTTTATTATTTTACGACTAAAAACTTTTCTTCCGTAAAGAAAACAGAAAGCTGCAACCAAAATTCAAATGAGTTAAATTTTTACTTTTCTTTAAGGAAACTAAACTAAACAAAGTATAACTTACTTAGCGATAGTTTTTTTTATTTTTTTATTTTTTCTAGGTTCTTTGGTTCCGCCAAATAATAGATGCCTTTTTTTCAAATTGGTATTCATGTTTAAAAATAAATTATCTTTAACGAATAGTTTAAGTCTTTCTTTATTTTATACGCTTTTAAATGAATAATTTAAGTTTTTAACAACATTTAGAATTTATTTAGTTAAGGTACATTTGTATTTATATTGCTTTTATTTTTATTATTTTCTTACCTGTTTGATGTTATTATGTAAGGTCGCCCAATGTAGTCTTTTTTTTAATTATTCTGAATTTATAAATTATAGAATTTACTCTTTCAATAGGGAAGAGTATTCAATCAAAGGCGGTAATTCAGAATTTGAACATACTAAATTTTAAATCATAATAGTTGTAAAATGAAAAAAATGTCATTATGAAATATAACAATTGCTAAAATGAAAAAAATAATTAAAATCCTTTTAAAAACAATTCACACTCAAAAACAGCATTAAACGTTTGATTCTTCAAACATGTCATTATTTAATAAAAGAAATTGTAATGAACCAATTACAAGTAATTTAAAACAAAAATATTATAGGTTTTTTCTGTCCAATCTCAAAGAAAATAATTCAAGTGCCAACTCTGAGAAAAAATATTGTTTGAGTTTTATTGAATTATTTTTGGTAAGGATTAGGATGAATTTTCAATATGTTCACAGTTGCTATATTGCATAAAAAATTTTTATTGAAATAACATCTACAGGGATTTTTCTTTCTATAACTAAAAAAGAAATTACACACCACCCAAATTAAAAAGTACACGAGATATTGAAAAGGGAGGGGTTAAAACAGACCTCTCCCAAAATATTTCTGCAAAGTTTTCTAATAAAATAAACTATTCAGTATACAAATCATTCATTAATGAATAAGTACTGAAAATTTTGTTCCAATCAGATAATTATTTTGATTTTTGGCAAATTATTTAAAACAAGGAGTAGTGATTTTTGCTTTAATAGTGGAAAAAAAACGCATCCACTTTGATGATACCTAGAAAAAATCTACAATGTATATTTATTTCCCAAAAATTTACTATTTCAGTGCAATTTTGTAATTCTTCTAGTTGCTGATAAAAAATGACTGTTATAAAGAAGTGTTTGACAACAAAAAAAAAAAAAGAAAAAAAAAAGCGAAGTTTTTAAAATGTTTTTTGTTGAAAAACTTTTTGTTTTTGCTCACCTTGTAACTGTACAGTGCATATCATGAATTTGAAATGTATTTTAGTATTGGCTAGTCATCACGAGTATGGGTGGTAAGTGAACTTGGGTGGAAGGATGACTTAACGGTTGTTACTCCCCCACTCAAAACACAAATGATGGATCTGTGTTACAATTAAAGAGAAATCTCTTTCTAGAAAATATTTTTTTTTTTTACCAGAGAAGAGATCAGCGTGTCGGAGAGTCATCTCCTGAGGAGTCATCAAACTCTGGTTATCTAGGATTTTGGAAGCACACCCACATATTGCTGTATTATTAGCATCGATATAAAAATGATTGGAGTATATTCTTAGGCAGCTCATTTATGTAAAGTAGAAAGAGAATTAGACTGAGAAGTGAACCTTAGGGGACACCTGCATTGATCAGAGAACTGGTTGTTAACAACTAATTTCAGGGACCTACCCATTAGGAAGGACTTTATAACTGAGAAAACTCTTCCAGTGATTCCATAGCTAGAGAGCTTGTGTAGTAACCCTTTATGCTACACTTGGTCAAAGGCCTTTGAAATATCTAATGTGATCATCCTTGAAATGTATTTGTGGTCTAGTGACTCACTGATTCTGTGAGTAATGGCTAGAATATCAACAGTGGAACAAGTTGATCCAAACCCGTACTGTTTATCACTCAAAAGGCTTTCCCTATTGAGGTGATAACAATCTTCTTGTTGATTATAGCTTCAAAAAAGTTTGCTAACAACAGTGAAGAGGGTCATGGGTCTATACTGAGATTAGGATAAGTGCTCACCTTCATTCCTGGAAATAGAGCATACACTTGGTACCTTCCACACCTTCAAGCTGGTGTTGCATTGATGATGGGGTCATATCTGCTGTTGATGACAATTTTTACCAAAAAGGATGAAAGCATCTTCACCAATTTTCATATCTCCTCAGAAGGGAACAGGTTCAAATCCTGCTAGAGAGCACATATAAGATTTTTTGAATATTTAGGGTGGTAAAACTAAATGGGGTTTCTACCCAAATATGAGTATCCACCAAAAAAGCATTTTTCAAATATATATATATATATATATATACAGAGGTGCGATGGGTAAATTGTCGGCATTTTATATTTTAATTTTGCACAGACACATTGTTTTTGATTTTGTTGACTGCACAGTATAGTAAGGTCAGTTGGGCATCATCTGTGAGAAAAAGAGCATAAGTGAACCTAAACAAAAACAGAATCTGGGATCAAAATGGATTCAGTTGGTGATAAAAATGCCATACTGCTGGAATCCACAAAAATATTTATTTCGCATAGTCAGAGATCAGTCAAATGGTAATTTATTGCATTTAATCTGCTGTGCATAAAAGTGGAAAATAAATCATTAACTTCATGAACAATGTCCACAGAATTATTTTGACAATTAATCTTAATTTCTAACCACTGAGATATAGTTGTGTAGGCGTTCTGAAAGCAAAGGAAGTATTTGTCGCAGATTACTTCCCCAACACAAAGAAAAATCACCGTAAGTACAGACTCGAATATCGGGTGCAGAAAGAAATGCTGAAAACTCGATTCGCCGGTACTATCTCAAATCACAATGCGTGTAACCAGTCAGAAAAATAACAAACGCCGTAGCCAAAATGCCCGAATTTTCCGCTGTCGATTCGAGAACACCAACTGCTTTTATCGGCAGAACCTTTTAATTTCATTCGTCGACAGCTGGGAGAGGATGTTCAGTAATTTGCATATCAAAATACTTTTATAGCGACTCCTGCGACGAACTTGTTTTTTAAATCAAATATCCCATTTTCAGCATTTTCATTATTTAAATCAAATATCCCATTTTCATATTGGCATTAGTCGACGATATATCATCCTTCGGCGAGATATTATACCAATATACTACCTCCATTATCGAACACTGCTTTCTTGCTGCAATTCGCTTTATGCTCCGATGAGATCTTTCCACTATACCGTTTCCTGCAGGAACATAGGCGCAGCGAAAACGAAGTTGGACTCCCCAGTCATCCAAGAAATCTTTAAAGGACTTACTGCGAAATGCAGTGTCATTATCGGTCAGGATTTCTGATGGTGGGCCTCGTTCAAAAAATACTTTCTAACTGCCGAATGACGTTTCTTGAGTCTTGTTGAAGCAGATGTCGCCATATCGCAAATCTACTAGGGCCGCAATCCATTAACGTAAGGTAGTGTTGCCCACCGTAATGTGTAATGTCCATTCCTAAGCGGGTCCAGATTTCAGTCACACTTAGGTTGCCACGAGGCCAACGACTTGACGCTGGGTCAATTGACTGGCATTCTTTACATTTTCTGACCACTCCCTTTTGGCCGCCTTGGATGTCGTAGGGTAGACTCGTCTTACAAAATATAGCGTCCGCCTGATACCAGGATGTCCACTCTGGCAATGTATGGAACGTATCTGATCAGGAGAGGTTTCGTTCACCATGGAAGCTCATATCGGGCGTGTTGGTTCGGTTTCCTTCTTTATCATATCATACCATCGTTGCAGTACTCTGGTGAGCTTATCCGCTCGATTCTCACTCGACGTTACTAAGCTTATCGTGATCGATAAGTTATACTCTTGAATCAGCTTTTCAAGAGTACTCAATCGCCTCCGGATCAGCATTTCACTTGCCGCCTTAGTTCGTATTCTGGCTTTGCCAGTGAGCATGTTTGATACCCACCGGTGCACACACGCTCCATTGTGCTCCACTGTAATGCTAAATTGACGCTCTTCAGAATAGCATCCAATTCTGATAAATTGATATGTTGGGCGTCCTTCACAGGTCGCAGCCAACATGCGTCTTCTACAACGCTTCCGTCAACCTCCAACGAAACCCCTGTGGCGAGAGAACTTGCATCGACCCATACCTCATAAGCATGTCCGCTTGTGCACCACTTACCGTGTGCAGGGTCATTCTGGCGTATTCTTTCCGCTATGTCTTAAGGGGAGCATCTGTCACTTCGTCGTCCCAACCAGACGTGATCGATACTGTCCTGCGTTTTACAAACGATGCAGCAACACGAAGCCACCCACACACAGGAACGTGACCCACTAGTTTTCCACACCACAAGAAGACGTTATGTCGTGTCAGGACCTCAGGAACTGATGGAATGCCATTTTCACGTGTCCACTTAAGCGTGTTGTTATCTTCTGCGACGTACAAACCCAGCATACGTGTGCCGTCCCGTAACCGCTCAGGATCCTTACAGGTCAAACCAAACGCAGCCAAGTGCACTTTCACGCGAGCTGCTGAAATCATGCTCTCGTCAACATAAATATCATCAATATATGATGAGGTTGCCCGTCGAACTGACTCGTCTTTCGCCAACGCGGCGTCTACAATGGCCTTCATTATGGCTGGTGCAACATTCAACTCGAAACCCATTCGGGTTAAGCAATATCTTCGCCCCTGGAAGATTACAGTTTGAAAGCGCCAAAATGACTTATGGATATGTACTTGCAAATAAGCCTGCCGTAGGTCAAGGATAGCGACTTCCGGTCCTTTTCTACGCCACTCCCTCAGTTTCTGTGCGCGCACGTCAGCATTGGCTGTGTGTGCG